AATTATAAAATATAATATAGAGCTAAAAATAAATATATACTAATATAGGAAAAAAAATAAATTCTATTACAGTATATGTGTCTTCTGAACGAGTCTTAGTGTTTGCAGTTTTATTTTGAGAATGTTGTGCAACATTAGTTTCTGTAAAAGATTTAATTCTTTTAACAGGTCTTCTACAAGCATTAACTTGAAATGGATTTTGAATTGTATTAGAATTCAGGCTATTTAATAAACTATCGTTAGCCTGTTCTACTTGTTAAATTAGGCCCCTCAAAGTTGCAGAAATATGAGTCAAACTAAACTCAAATACCAATATTGCTAACTTTCATCCCAATGTCACACATTCATCATAAATTTGTTGCTTTAAAATTTTGTGTTTAATTTCTTTATAATCATCACTCAAATCATCCTTTCTAAGATCTCGAATTATATTCATGATTGAAAATAAAGTTTGTACATTATCAGTTATAAAAAATTCTGCAGAGCTTGATATATTACAATTATCAAATAAAATATTAACTTTAAGTGAATCAACATCATTTTTATACCATCTACTTTTTATTAAAGCAATAGCAAATTTCACTTTCTGTGTTTTTAACATGACCTAAAAGAAGTGGTGCATACAAGTCCTTTACTAAATAAGAGCAAACATGTACAAACATGCAATTGATCCTTAAGCAATACAATACAGTTCATCAAAATAGTATTAGCCCTCATATATGCTTGACTTCCCAAATTCCAATTATATTATTAGGATCAACACGCTTGATAAGAGATTTAAGAGCAACTTGTCTTCTATCTGAGTGATCTTTAATACAAGCAACGATATCGACAGCATCAACCTAAGATAAAAATTAGAGTGTTATAACACTTATATGTATTTTAAAGAAAAAAAATTAATCTTACATTATCATGTATAGAAAACTGTTCAAATGGAATTGGTAATAAATTGTATTCAAAACAAATATCAATTTGAGCTTTTTAAATCTGAAATATTTCATTCATCAAAACTGATTTCAAATATTCTACAAGCTTTGAAAAAACTCAGCTTGATGCTGAAGACCCAACACTATAGGATAAACTTTTTAAATAATTTTAATATTTGGCCTTTTGAAGTTCAGAGGCTAACATATTCTGCATTCCATTAAAAAATTTTTTCAAATTTGAATGTAAATTAACATATTTGTGAACTATCGCATTAATCGATTCTACCTGTTGAGTCAATGACATTCTAGCATTAAACTCCTAAGAACAAAAATATAAAAAAAAAATTAAAATAAATTATAAATCCAAACCTTTAACTAACCCTAACTTAACATCTAGCTAACCCTAACTTAACCTCAAACTAACCCTAACTTAATCTCAAACTAACACTAACTTAACCTCAAACTAACACTAACTTAACTTCTAATGCTAACTTAACACCTAACTAACTCTAACCTCTAACTGCTTCATGATTTTTACCTGAAAAGTAAAACATTTGGCTCATCGTTCTTTAATAGAATATAGATTGTTTTTCAAATATAAGGATGCTTCAGTATATTTGGTGCATAATGATTCAAATCGTATTTCAAAAATTTTTTCAAATAATATATTTCGGTAGGCTAAAAAATCAGCCTGAAATTCAAGGTATTAGGAGCCAAGAGAACATGTTAATTGTTTTTTAATATTTTGAACAATATGGAAAACACAATGTAAATATCGTGTAGTTGAAAGAGTGGTTTTAATTGCAGGTTCTAATCCGGTATCACAGTCAGAAAAAATAGTTAATAAAGATGAATTATCTGTTGCTATCATAAGATTATTAAGGACCCAGTTGTATGATGAAGTCATTTCATCAGACATCAATGTCTGTACTAATAATCTTAAACGTTGGTGCTCATCAACTCCAACAAATAAACACAATGCTAATCTATATTTATTTGTTCTTGCTGTATTGTCTGTTAAGATTACATCATTATACTTTAAGTAAAGATTTCGTTAAGAAGGAGTCATCCAAAATAAATGATAAAGGTGGTTTTTAATACAGTAATCTGTTATAAACAATGTAGGATCATCTTCTTTTAATGTTCTTAATATCTTTAAAAGGTTAGATGCATCATTTTTAGGATCTTGTTCTGGATCCATTAAGTCACCCTTTCGAAATTGTTGAATTATATTGGTTAAATCTTTGTCTAAAAACAATTGATCCTTAAATTCACCTTCAAAAGTTGCCTTAATGTATGCTGACTAATGCCAGGAACTATATTTATATAAAATTTAACCTTATCAATTATATTTTAGAGGAGCTGCTGATATGTATTAATAAAGTGTACACTATTAGAACAAGGTGTATAACCATAGTGGGTAAGATTTAATTTAGTAATTGATAGACCCGGCGAACTTAATGGCTAACAAATATTAATAAAGCATATGCAATTCATTTTTATAGACTTTTGATTGCGCTGTTGTAAAGGTTTAATTGCCTTTTTTTTAGTTTGAGAGCTTTCTGCATGCCAACATTCAAATACATACTTATAAACTTCTCTATTTTTGTCAAGCTTTCTATTCTGGATTCGCCATGTAAAACCCATCTTTCATCTGTACACTAATAAGACTAAATTTATATGTTCCTAATAGTCAAATTGTAACCTAACATATAAGTTTAATGCTTGTTCAAAAGTGGTACTAGGTATTGATAATGTTTCATGTAGACGCCTCTTGGATATTCCATTACGGGTAATTAAAATAGCAGGCATTTGTTGAGAAAAAAGATCACTAGGAGTTTCTATACTAGCAACTTCATTAACTTCATTTTGGCTTGACTAAAAGCTTGGTAAGTATAAGGCATATAAAATAATAAACACTATAGTGAAAATTATTAATATATACTTGCTGGGAAAAAAGGTTGCTTGAAGCCTCTTCTTTACTATCAATTTCAATATAATTTTCATCAACATCGCTTTGGCTCATCTAAAAGGTTTAGGTAAATATAAAATGCATATAATATAATTACTAAGTATAATATAACACTTACTGTTAATAACATCTGGTGATAGGCAATATCTGGTGATGGGCAGTGTCTGGTGATAAGCAATGTCTGGTGGTGAGCAATCTCAACGTCTTGTAGTGGGCAATGGCAATGTTCTTTGGCTGTGAACTTCTTGCGTAGGCAACTTATGGTAAGTAACTTTGTGCGCTTATTACTCTTGTAATGTATTAGTTTGATTAAAAGAGAGAAAGCAAAAGCTTTAATTAAAACAAATATAAAAGTGACAAAGTTTACAATAGCCAATAGTACAATAGAAAAAAAGCAATAATAATAATTTGTAGTAAAAGTCATGTGAATACATAGTGGGATGACATATCACAAGTTCAGTCTGGATGATTTATATATTAATTCTATTTTTATAAAATTCAATAATATATAAATTTAAATAAGTTATTTATTATTTTAAAATTTTATAAGATGTTTAATTTAAAAAAATTATATTTGTATATATCTTGAATTTTCCCTGGACACTATGTTTTTTCCTGGTTACACAAAAGGGTCAACTTTAATTGGCTAATTTCTGAAAACCTATAAGAGAGTTTTAATAATAAATTTTTATATCTAATCTTTAAAAATTCATATTTCGATGAGTTTTAAACCAATTTTAATAATTTTACTATTGTTAGAATCACAAGAACCTACTTTACAACTTTATTTACAAGCTTAAAAAATATTTAATTAATAAAAATTTCCGTAATTAAGATTACAAAAAAATATACCATCAAGTTCATATATAAATTTAAAATGTTACACCTTACTCTTAACTAATTAATAAAAAGCAATTACTATAACACAAGTATATTTTCCAAATTTTATTATTTGTAAATTTTAAATACTAGACCTGTTATTTAAAAGTTAACAACTTTATTATCAAATTTTTAAAATGCAATAATTTCAAAAGAATTATATTTGATATAAAATATTGCAAAAGAATTTAAAAAACTATACCAATCTTAAAATTTTATTAAAAAGCTTCATAATATTGTAATAATAAAAATGTTAGTAAGTTATTCCAGTCATAATAATAATTAAATTATCAAATTTAATTAAGTATTTACTAAGATAACTCAAACATAATTCTTTTGAAATATTGTAAATATTTTGAAATAATTGTAAAATATTTGCAATATTTAAAAAAATTGCATTTGAGTTATTTTAGTAAATATATAACTAAATTTAATAATTTAACTACTATTATAATTAAAATAACTTGCTAAATATTATTATTATTATTATTTTTCTATTAAACTAGCCTATTTTGGGCCTAGGGTTTTATTTAGTAAATTGGACATAGAGACTTGCAGCTGAAGTCTCAAAGAAGTTACCTTATATTAGAGAGTACAACTAGTCACACATATACTTTTGGTGTCTAATTTAAATAGTCTGCCAATGGTTCTACACTAGCTGCCATACCTGCAACCCAACTAGAGGTGTTGCCTATTTAAATCCTCTGTACTGCAATCCTTACTGTATTACTAGATCATCTTCAATACTGTCATTAGTCAAGAAGGTCTAGATACTTTTACTCTTTCCCTTAGAACTCTATACCTTATTTCATGTAGTGTATTTTCAGAAGCATTATTACTAGAGCCTTCTGTGTCCTACATATAGCTAACCTAGTTTTATATAACATACTATAGTTATCAACACTTGCAGTTACAAGAATTACCTGTTTAACTGCTACATTACACTATTTCTACTCTTGTAAGTTCATCCAAACTCCAGTACCTATCTTTCTGACTTCTTCTCTTCATCCTTCTACTATCTAACTCAAAATCTGACAAACTTCCCAAACTCCCAATCAAGATAGCCTGATGTGATATACCTTGGTATTCTTTTCCTCTAGTGATTTTGGCAGCCTGGTTAGTCATATGCTCCTTTACACATCTTTCTATTTAGTTGCATGTCTGTCTATTCCTTATTGAGGTTTTCTGAGCTTTCATTAGTCTGATAGCACCATCAAAAGCTTGTACTACTCTTTACTCTGGAATTTCTAAGTGGGCTTCTGTCTTCTCAGTTTCTTGGTTTTCTACATCTGGTGGTCTTATCATAGGTTTGCACCAAAGTCTTATGCAACACTAGTTATTAACATTCCTCTATGTATATATAACATTACACTTTATATAGATGCCTCAGACTCCCAATGATGAGTAAAACCCAATTGGTTGTACCCAAGATTACAGATACCCAAATTCAACCAATTGCTAAATATTATTTATTATTGTAATATTATAAAGTTTTTTAATAAAATTTTAAGATTAGTGTAGTTTTTTAAATTTTTTCACAATATTTTATATCAAATATAATTCTTTTAAAATTATTATATTTAAAAAAGTTAATAATGTTATTTATTTTACTAGATTGTTATATCTTTTTTATTATTATTTTTTAAATTATATATATAATAATATTTATATAAATATTTTAAATAGATTTTTTTTAGTTTGTTAATTTAACTTTTTTTATTAATTTTTATTTATATATTAATTATTTTTTTTAATTTTTTAGTAGTTTTGTTATTATTTTTTATTAAAAAAATTGTATATTTAATTGCATAAATATTAGTTTAATTTGTAAGTTTAATATTATCTAGCTACTGTACAATTGTTCAGAGGCAGTTTACTGTACTAATATAAGTTTGTACTTATTGCTAAAAGGTTATTTATACTAGTCTTTAAGACTGTTTTTTTTTTTTTTAAATATTAATAATAAGGCCATGCCTTTAACTTTATTAAATTCAATTGAAGTTTTTATAAAGAAAAGCTTGCTTTTAAATTACATATAAAGAATAAAGACTCAGATATATAATCTGCAATCTAAACTTACAAGAGTGTCCAAAGCTCATCTAGATTTGGGTGTTAGTAATAATATAAGAGAGAGGAGTATGATATTTAATTCATTAGATAGTCCAAAGATCAATTTTGGTAATAATTTAAGATATTGAGATGGGAGGTAAACTAGAAGAAGAACTATAAGTTAAGTTTGTAGTAAGTGTATTTTTAGACTGTACAGAATGTAAAATGCAATATGGAATCCATATTTGTTTGTATATTTGTTGATTTAAATGAAGAAGAAATTTAATAAAAAGAGAAGTAGCTATATGATAAAAAATAAAAGTATTATGAATAGTAGAAATAAGGTCAATAGAAACTAAACCAGATAGGGTAGAAATAAGAAATGACATGTGTGAAGAGTTATGCAATTTAAGTGTGAGAATTTCTTGATGTAAATTAGAAACAAGATTGGTAGATATATCATAAGCAGTAACATTTAAGATACAATTAAGAGAATTAGAGATTAAGTGATAAATTGTTTGGATAAAAGGACAAAGAGTCCAGTATAATGAAGAGCTGTTTGATTGCATTGATGACAGAAAGGAGAGTAAGAGGGATTATATTTGTAAAAAGTATGAAGAACAGGTAGTTTATCCAAGAGAATTTTAACATGAAAGGTTTTTAGAGTAGAGGAATAGAAGCTATAGGCAAAGTTAAAAACCTTTTGATTGTTATTAATGTAAAGCCAAGTGGCTTTCTAGTTGATGTTGGAAGTAATGATAAACCATTGTTGAAAACGATGTTGAGATGTTCAAAGTGTTATGATGTGAGCTTGACAGATAGTATGAATAGAGTGTCGAATGAGAATCTTAATAGGAAATTAGTTAATAAATAGAGTATAAGCAAAATTGTAAAGGTTGTTAGTTATGAATATTAAAAAGAATAGTATTTGGTGACTATGAGCAAGTTGGTCAGCAAGGTCATTAAATAGGTCATCTTGGTATACAATAACTTTGTAAAAAGTAAGCTGAATGTTGTATAAGTTAATGAAGTTGATGAGAGTTTGCCAAATAGAGAAGTATAGAGTGTAAGTATGAAAAAGTTTGAATGCTAATAAGCAGATATTATGATATTTGGAAATGACAGATTGTAAATCTGTAAAGATATGAACAGAGCAGTTTCTAGGAGCAGTTATAATTGCTGAAAGAATAGCAAGGATTTCAGCTTTAAAAGAGTATGGCCAGAGTTTGACTTGTGCCTAGAAGAATGAATAGTGCAGAATTATCAACTTGAACTTAACCTATGCCTATAGAGCATTGAGAGGTATCAAGCTCGATAACAAAACCATTAGTATAAAATAAAATAGTGGTTAGGTTATAATTGAAATTAGCAATAGACTGTAAGCTATTAGTAAGTTGGTTAAACTAAAAAATGCAAGATAATTGTTGTGAATTAATTATTAGTAAAGGAGAAGGTAGAATATATAAAGAATGTCGAATAGCAACAGAGTATGCAATATCAAGAAAGTTAACATGTAGGTTAAAGTCTTGTCAGTATTAATATGACAGAGTAGTTTTTAACCAGGTTTGTAGAAATAAAGATAGTGCATTTGTTGCTGATTGTATTAGAATTAAGGTGTCATCCAGGATATAATATAGTATCTTTAAAACTATTTCAATAAGGTTTCTTATTATTATTAATTAACTTTTTTACTATATTTTTTTATAACTTTTATTTATTCTTTCTTTTACTTTTTTTTATATTTTTTTTCTAAATTTTCTTTTTTAATTCTAGTATTACTTTGTATACTGTTTTAGTTTGTTGTTTTATTACTTTTTTTTTTTTTTATTTTTTATGCTAATGATATTTTGACTTTTTTTATTTACAAAATCTGTTGCATTTTTTTTTTAAATTGTTTTATAAAACTTATATCTACAGTACTTGCTAAAAAATTTTTTATTTTTTATACTAAGTCTAGCATGTTTTGTATTTTTTTATCTGCTTTTTCTTGTAAAAAACTTTTAATAAGCTTTTTTCTTACTTTTGCTCTTTTTTCTTTTATTTGGCACCAGATCAATTTTTTTAATTGCATCTGTATAATACTTTTTTTGTTATCTAAAAGTGTATTCTATACTACTGTTATAGGTGAAAGCCTTCTTAATTTTCACACTATAACGATGACATGACACAGGGAATCCCTTACGGGTATATGCGATGTCCAAG